AGCGCCGCCGCGCTTCCCAAGCAGCGCACTATCCAGTGCGCCACCGGGCCGGCCCAATAAAACACTATTTCTAAGGGAATCCCATCTATAAGAATATTTTAGGCCAGCAGCATTAATTTATTTATAGGACAGTTTTGTGGAAATTAGAGTTATTGAAAATTAGGCCAATACAGTGCCTACAGTATTTTAGTCTCTTGCTGTTGCTTATGTCATAGGGACCACCCTAAGCAAAGTGTTGGGTTGTCTTAAATACATTCTTGTCTTTCCTTTCCTCACCTTTCTTCTTACCTTGAGACAAACTTTACCTAACCTTTACCAGAAACTCAATCCCTTCCTTCTTTGCCTCCCTGTGCCTAACAAGAACCTCACTCGAAAGCATCTGACAGCATCACACTTTTGTGTTTTTCAAGAGCATGTTAATAAAGTACCAAGATAAGCCACAGAGGTATATGTCAAGTGGGAACATTTCAGACACAAGGGATAGGCCTACTGTAGAGATGTTTGGAGAAAAGAATGTTACACTGTTCGCCCTTAATTTAGATAACATCCAATTTTTCCAACTGATAAAGTCAGTCACAGACGGTAATGAATGACACCAAAGGCACAATCCCTCTCTATACCTGCAATACCCATGAAAGTCTCCCGTCAGTTCTGTGTGATCCCAGTAATTCCACAATGGATTTCACCTTAAAATGCAATGGTCCCTACTCAAATTTTACAACTACCCCTCTCCCAATAACATGACCTTCCTTCACTTTACTTTCAAGGCTTCTTCTATTCTTCCATATCACTCACATAAAACAATAGTAGAAGCAAGTCATTTTGTAGCAAAGGAATAAGAGTACCTGTCCACAAGTCAAGAAATTGTTGTGGATCTATATCTCAATAATTTGCTGAATATAAATGCATTGAATAACTGATGGTATAAATTTAGCTAAGAGTAACACACCAATAGTGATTTCCTATATTTGATGATAGATCATGGTAATGTGAGAAGATAAGATTAGAAGAAACAAACACGTTGAGGGGTATATGGGAATCCCCCTATACTGTGTGTGTGACTGTTCTGTAAATTTAAAAGTATTCCAAAGAATAAGTTTATTCTAAAAATTGATGAGGAGGTCCATTGGCCAATTCCTTTGGGAAACTTTCAGTTAAGCAGTTATTTTTCTCAATGCTTGTAATTAATTATCAGAGCTTTGGGACTATCTAATAAGCATTGTAACTTTATCAGAGGGAATATATGGTGCTGCATTTTCCAAACATATTTGTCCAGAAACCTTTTTATTTTCTTCAAAAAGTCTCTTTCCAGAAAAGTGCTGACATAGAAAGTTTCTCCCAGAGTGTGACAGACTCCTGTCCTATACTGGACCATGTTCAGATTTTAATCAGCATCTTTGTCTGGAGAAAGAAGCCAAGGACGTTAAATTGGCAGAAGATGTGAAACTAGGGATAATATGATGGATGAGAAAATAATCACAAAAATTAAACTTAATAGGCTACGTCAATTGACCAAACAATGGGATGAATATAAAAGGATAAATATATAGTCTACTTTTAGTTAAACAAATTGAAAACAAAACAACAAAGTACAGGATGATGAAGAAGAATGGACTTAAGTGTCCATTACGTTACTATGAACAGCTTTGTGTCTCAGGAGATCTTAGGTCAAATTAGTAGAACTTTGACCGTCAGTGAAAAGGCCCTAAAAGTACTCTTATGGTAAGGCCATTTCTGAGATATTGTTTCTCTCTTTTTTGTTGTTGTTAAGTTCTATGTGCTACATAATAAAAGGTCCTCAATGAGCCATTTCCAAAGCAGAGGGAACAGGATGATGTGGATTTTGGAAACCATGTCATAACAAGAAATGTTGAAGAAACTGGAAATATTACCCTGATGAACAAAAATCCTAAGGGGATTTGACAGGTGTCCTTAAGTACACAAGGATACAAGGAGAATGAAATCTACTCAGTGTAACTTCAGAAGTCAGAAGAAGGATCTAAGGAAGCAAGAGGAAGCACATCATCTCTGTGACCATTAAACTGCCTCATAAAAGAATGAACATCCTTGAAATGAAGTGAGCTTCCTGCCTCTGGGATTGTTTAAATAGAAGCTGGATGCCCAGCTGTCCAGATTGCTGCCAGGGTGTCTTCTGCATTACACCTGATAAATGACTTCTACATAAACTTCTAGTTCTAAGATCTCAGAATATATGAAACCACAGGGAAGGGAAAAAAAAATTAAGAGGCACCGAGAAGAATGACAAACCACTGAAAACACCCCCAAAGGTCCCTCAGGCCGCACTCTGCGTCTCTTCTAACCATCATCCCTGTGATAATATCTGGAAACTTCCTGGACAAGTGCTGGGGTTTAGCTGAAGAATCAGAGGCAAAATGCCATCCCTGAGTATGTACCTGAGAGACTTTTGATGGTATAATTGAATTTACACTAGAGGACAGGGGAGTGGTGAATTCATCTAGACCAAGTATTGTTGATATTCCAACAGAAATTTACCAAAGTAAATAAACACATAAACACACAAGTATACAAACAAATAAGTTAATTTTTTAGAACTCCCTATTTTTTCTCCTATGGAAATAATTGGCCTATAAAAAGTTCAATGTGTACCAATTTAAGGCCTGCTTCAAGGTTGCCCCCAAGCTGAGGCAGAACTATCCTGACGAGAGTGAGAGTGAGCTGGACACTCAGGACACAAAAGTTAGGAAGGCGCCCTCGCAGGGTCCTGTAATTGCTGGCAGGGTCAGCCCCTGAGAGGGAGTGCCTCTTTAAATGTACATCACAGACGCCTGCTTACATCACACTAGCCCTGGCCCCGTGATTGGTCAGGCATTCAACGCCCCTCCCCTCTGCAGCCTCAAACATTGGTTGCTTAGGTAACAGCCACTTCAAAGCCTGCAGAGTGGGAGGCCGCAGACCTGACCTTCTCCCATCTCCTAACCGTATGTAGGCCAGAAGCTGGCACCGACACTACCACCACCCCACAATGTCCCGGGTCCTGGAGTGGAAGAGGGCAGAGCATAGTCCAGGAGCTCCTGGGGCCAGCTGCGATGGCAGAGGTGGCAGAGGCAGCAGTGGGAGTGGCCCCTCAGGCGGTTTGGGGCCTAGAGCCACAGGCTCCCATGAACCACCACTCTGCTTTAGACTGGAGAACCATCTGGTTGGCTCAGTCATTGGTCGTGGTGGGTCAAAAATAAAAGACCTACAGCATTCGACAAACACTACAATACAGATAATAAGCAGGGATTCAGAAGCAGTAGTGAAAATTTTTGGCAGCAAAGGCCAAAAAGCAAAGGCCAAGGCAGCTATAGATACTCTTATTAAAAGACAAGAAAGGTACCGTTCAGAATCGGATGTGGATAATGCTGCGTCCCAACCTCCTGTTGGGAGAGACGTAAGCACAGTTAACGTTGTCAGAGAAGCTCCGCCATTGATTGATTGGGATCGTATTAAGGCAGAAGCCGTGGCCTGGGAGAAAAGAAAATGGGCAGATTTACCACCAATTAAGAAAGACTTTTACACAGAATCCAAAGCTACAAGCTCCATGTCTAAAGAACAGGCAGACACGTGGAGGAAAGAAAATTACAATGTAATGTGTGATGACTTGAAAGATGGTGAGAAGCGTCCCATCCCTAATCCAGCTTGTGAATTTGAGGACGCTTTCTATGCGTATCCAGAACTTATGAAAAGCATAACAAGGGCGGGTTTTCATAAACCAACACCAATTCAGGCACAGGCATGGCCCATTGCCTTAAAAGGAGTAGATCTTATAGGAGTTGCCCAAACTGGCACAGGCAAAACATTGTCCTACTTAATGCGCATAACTTCGTATAGCATACATTATACGAAGTTATACGATACATGTTGACAAAGAGCAATGTGATCGAGAGGACGCATTAGAAGACTTTACAAGTGGAAAAGTGAAGATACTGATTACAACTGATTTAGCATCCCGAGGCCTTGATGTTAACGATATCACACACGTATATAATTATGATTTCCCAAAAATCACTGAAGAATATATCCACAGAGTAGGGCGTACTGGAAGAGCAGGAAAGACCGGAACATCAATTTCCCTTATCACTCAAGATAATTCAGAGATTGCCAATGAATTGATTCAAATTCTGGAAAGAGCAAATCAGAGTGTCCCAGAAGATCTTGTAGCGATGGCCAAGTGATACAACTTCCAGAAACAAACAAGGGACACAGAAAAAAGACCAGAAAAATCTTGAGAAAATCCCAAGATCTTTTAGTTTTGTTTACATTGAAAAGTTGTACCAGCTACAGGAAGATTTAAGGCATGTTGAACATATACCGTATTCAAGGTACATAAGGAAGTTATTGGAAACATACTGGCAGTTTGAACACACAACCGATTCTTAAATAACTCTAAGCTTTCAGTGTTGTGTATGTTCCTTAATTTTTAAAAAAAGTTTTTAAAAATGAGAGTGTGAGATACTTTGTGGGGAAAATTAAATGTTATGTGTTGGTAAAATCTTGTTTCTTTTATAGCCTGCCATGTCAATCTGTCTTAAAGACTTGGTAGAAGGCAGCGATGGTGCTATTTTTGCTTAAAATTTGTTGTGCTGAATTGCAGCATACATAGTTTTCATTAAGCTTATTCCAGTCAAAATATTCTCTCCTCAGCACCCCCAGTGGTTGGTGCCACAGTGATCCCTAAACATATCTCCACTGTCATTCCTGATTTTTTTGTTTTTTAGTTCATTAGAAAATAAGTGCTAAATCTTCTAGATGATTCTACAGTTCTATATTATCAGATAGATGTAACCCAGAGAACACGTGTCTGACTCTCTGGGAATCATATCCTTACATGAATTCTGTCACTAACATTGGTTAGAGATTCCAGGGAGGTCACTTGTCTTCCCTAGGTCTCAATTTCTCCACTCATAAAATGGGATGGTTATATTAAAAAATTTGAGGGTCTCCTTCACCTCCAAAATTCTGTGATCCTATAACTAAAATTGTGTACCCAAGGCTTGTATTAACATCTTAATATCTAATCTAGGGAAAATTGCACCCTTGTGCAATAAATTGAACACAGAAACCCTTTTTAATGACCAGAAATGCATTTGGCATTTTTAAATAATTTTTGTAATGTGACTGGCAGGTTTCTTTCTATTCTTTGCTTTTCATCATATTTTATTTTTAATTTTTAATTCAATTTCTCCTGAAAAGGTCAAAACCATATATACACACACATCAGGGGGAAAAGTGAATGTGAAAGAAAAATATATCTTATCTACTGGGGAGAATCAAAAAATCAGATGTCACTCTTGCCATAGGAACCAATTTTAGTAGAACTCTGATTTTGTTTATAATTCTATCTCTTATGCCTTACTTAGAAGCAATATACATCTCACAATGGCAAACAAAAATCCCCACAATCACTCTAAGTAAACTCCAAAATTCAGTATTCATGAAAACGTTGGAATTAGATAAGCCTTAACATTTCTGGCAAAATAAAGAGAAAAATTCATGCAACTTTTCCCCAGCTTGCCTTAGTTGTGACCACAAAGAAGTCAGAAATTAAGAGGAAAAAAAGTGATAAACACTCTAGGCATAGGTATTAGAGGTTTAAAGTCTGCTTTTAAAGGTTTTATATATAGGCCTCAATATCTCATGATAGAATTAATAACAATGGTTAACATTTTTGAGTGACATATACCAGGTGCTTAATCTCATAATTTCTAATATTCATTAGTAACCTACTCAATCATGTCTAAATAACAATAACAACAACAACTATCACTCAGTGTCTATGAGTAAGAAAAGAAAAGTGTGCCTTTCTTCTATAAGACAAGGCTGAAAAGAAGAGCCAGTGTATGGGGAAAGGTAAGTAGAGATAAAACAATGGTTCTTAACTAGGGGTACTTTTCTACCCAGGAGACCTTTGACAATATCTGAAGACAGTAACGGTTGTTACAACTTTGGGTAGAGGGGTGAGGAACTATTGGCATCTAGTGGGTAGAGGTTGCTAAACACCCTACATCCTACGGACTGCCCCACATATCAAAGAATTATCTGGCCCCAAACAATAGTGCTAAGGTGGAGAACCCTGAGAGACCATAAGCAAAAAAAAGAACCAGTTGCATATTAACCAGGGAGGGACTCCAAAGGAAAAAAAAAAAAAATAGAGGTTTTCTAAGCTGTATCTTATGGATTGTACAGAATAAAACCCTACAAATTTCCTATCTATGATATAGTTGTATCAGCACTCCTCCACCAGAGATAATTATGTCAATGTCTAGAGACAGATTTGGTTGTCACAACTGGGGGTGGTGGCGGTGACATTGGCTTCTCCTGGGTACCACTAAACATCCCACAGTGCGTAGGAGAGCCCCCCAACAACAAAGAATTATGTGGCCCAAATGTTAGAAGTGCTGTGGTTGAGAGACCCTGCAATAAATTAAGCAAAAGAAAAAACAGAGAACAGCACCAAACCTAGTTGCAGAGAAACCATATTAGTCTGTTTCTGTTGCTTATAACAAAATATAAGGAACTGGGTATTTTATAAAGAAAACGAAATTTATTGCTGACAGTTTCTGAGGCTGGGAAGTCCAAAGTCCAAGGAACATATCTGGTGGTGGTGACAATGACCCCTCACATTGCAAGATGGTGGAAGCAGAGAGAGCAGAGAGACTAACTTCCTCATTCACTCTTCTTTGAAAGCCCTCGAAAGCATGCCCATGACCACCATTTTTAATCCATTCACTACGGCACGGTCCTGCATTCTAATCACCCGTTCAAGGCCCCACCTTTCAATTACCATAATAGGATTTCCCAACCTCTTGACACTGTCACAGGGTGGGGGGCAGCCAAGGTTTGGGGGGACAGATAACCCAAGGCAATATGAATCTTTCTATGAACTTTGTGAAGACCCCTCATACACTGATTGTTTTACACATTTATTCACTTATTCATTCCTCAGATTTTTTGAGGGTCTACTATGTTGCAGATGATGTGGCATGCACTAAAGATAAAAATATTGGACATAAAGCACTGACAGAGGTTAGACAGAGCAAATACCACATCATGACACTTTCCTACTTGGAACCTTTCAATGGCTTCTCGTCTCACTTTGAAAAGGATCCAAACTCATTAACATTACCAAAAGGTCATATATGACACCACCCCTGGCCACCTCTCCAGCCCGTCTCCTCCTGTATCCCCCTCACTCGCTATACTACAGTCACGTTGCCTCTCTTTTAGTTCTTCAGATAAGCCAACATCTGTCCTCCTTTTAGGCCTTTCTTTATGATAATTGCTCTGCCAGGAAAGTTCTTCCCTACTGCTCACCTCATTGCCTCACCATCTCTCCTTTACTACCCCATCAAGTGAAATGAATCAAAGTCACTCAAAGTCGGCCAGAATGAAGGATTAGAAATGAGTCTTGAAACCCCGGACCTGAAGTCAAGCGGCTTGAGTGCACATCCTAAGTCTGCAGAAGGCTGCTCGTCACTCGTCTCACTGGTAAAGTAAGGGGTGAACTGCATGCCCTACCACGCCTTGACATTAAAGATTATCTACTCCAAAGTTCTGTCTTGCTGATGAGAAAACCAAGCTCCAGAATAGTTCGATTAACTTGCCGTGGCACACTAAACAGCTTACAGCTCTTTGGTTGGGCAAACCCTTTTTCCAACACTATGTGGAAGCTGTTGGCCTATGAAATTGAACACGTTGTTTTGTACTTGGTGGGAGTGGAGGAGGGGGAAGACAGGAGTATTTAACCAAGATAGTAATTCAGAATGCATGTATTTGTAGGTAGGCAGAATATAACAGTATATACATAACATATATTTAATATACATAACATAGCTACCATTATATCAACTGGAATTTTAAATTTTATCTCTAAGTGTTAAAAATATTCTTCTGGATTGAGTTATTATAATTATTACTTGCACGCAATTGACCAAAACAGCATAAATATATTATAAATGTTGATAATCATTAAACATTAAAAACCAAATTTAATTGCAGTTTCATTTCTTAGTAATATGGATGGGGCTGATTTTTAATAACTAGTTCATGTATTTATGGAGTAATATGACATTGCTAGAATGAGAGAGGGTTCAACAACAATTCAACAATTCATTCCTATTTTTCCATGCCAGTTCCAGCTGTAACCCTTACCTGGCCAGGCAGATCCTGCTTCCTGACTCTTGGAAGGCACCTGCCTTATGTTGATATTCTAGCTTGATATTAATTTGATATTGTCTTATTTTGATATTACTGGCACATTAATATACATGTAAGCACCGAGACAACTTGCTGACATAAATAAGTATATAGGAATGGAAGAATTTTGCTATGCCAGTGTCACTCAATTTGTTGAAATTTTTCCAAGTACATACTAAATGCTACATGATGATCTACTGACAAAAAATATTTTTATCATGTATCAGCTCCTAGCTCATAGGTTTTCTAATTTTGTTGAAAGCAAAGAATTAGAACTATATGACTTGAGAAATAAATTGTTGCCTACTCTTCACATCATTTACTTTCTCCATTTTTGAAAGTGCACCAAAAAGACATTACTTATCACACAACTGTTAATTTTACTTGTTCTTTCTCCAACAGGCATCTTGTTTAGCTTAATATACTTAGAAATCTGGCAAATAGTTTTCATGAAGTATTCGTCACTACAGTATTATTCCTGAAGTACTTTTATTTCAGCACATGCTTTAATTACATTTTCATCAAAAACCTGGAATGGCACCTTTAGGTAATTCAAGCTATGGAAAATGTCTGCCATATAATGTACACGGGAAAGCCCATTCTCATTGTCAAACCAACTAGTGGAAAAGTATACATCAATCATTAGTATGTCCATGTATCTTTAGAGTC